TATATATATATATATATGTACATACTTTTTGGTATTTTATTTTGTACTTTTATTGCATCCTTAAGTATTTCTTATATTTTAGCGTCATATCGATTCTTCTCATCCTGAACAGTTCATTGCATTGTTGACCTTGTGTTAACTGGCATATGACAAATAAACAATAAACAATAAACAACTATTAGATCTCAGTTTAACTCATGATGATGTCTCTTTAATCAAACCATAACTCTAATTATTGTAGAACCACGAAGAACATCACAGAATTGATGGAATCAAAACCAACATCTGAAATGTTTTTCAACACTTCTTTTTGGATTTTATTTCCCACATTCATTTGGGATTAACAAAAACACATAAACAAAACAAAAAAATACTATAATAACTTGATAGTTTTCAGTCAAATGGTGCATTGCATTTTAATGATAAAGTTAAAGTATGCAGATGTAAATAGTAAATATTAAGTTACAAAAGTAACTTTGCAGAGTTTTTCTAAGCTTAATATATTCAGATAAATTTTATTAGATATACTTTTTACATTATAAATGCTGTTTTTGTTCAATTTTAACATTGTCTTCTGTTTAGCAAAATATTAATTTATTTTAAATTAGTATTCCTTATAGCCAAGATTTTAATTGCTTATCAAATAAATATTGAAATTTGAATATTCTAAAATATTATTATATTATATTAAATTGGCTTATATTATATTATATTAGTATTTTAAATAGTATTTCTGTGACTTTAATTATGTAGTATTTGTTTAAATTTTGATTTAAACATCTTTTAAATATTTTAAGTGAAACTCTATGAGCGAACATCAATGAATCTTCTACTTTACGTCTCAAAGACATAAAAACCTGGATGACCCTGAACCAGCAAATAATTTCTTAAGTGCATCTCATTTACTGTCCTTCTGTGAATGACACCAAATGTATGGTTGTAATAATAATAATGTATAGTTACTGAACAATTTTGCAGCAAACAGCTTCCTCATGCATTAATATACTATAAGATTGCATGCTCTGTTTTTTTGTTTGTTTGTTTGTTTTTACAATTGTATACCTTGTAATTGTGCCAACTGTCCAGAAAATGGATTGCATGGCTTCAGACACTGGAGAAAGAAACCCCATTGCTTGACCTAATTGAATCAAGTCCCAAAAGGGGCTGAAATGGGAAATGTCCATAGACATTTGCTTGTCTTCTCCCACCCTTCATCCCATTTTGAACTATGTTTCTGCTCTCCTCTTGATGAAAATCTGAAGTGCCTTTGCAAAATCTTGAACAGGTTTGCCATGTATGTGATTTTACAGCAAGAAGACCATAGGACACGCTTGCAGTGTTGCAGTAGATATAAAGAAGCAAAAACAGAAGATCCACTTAGATTTGAACTCAGATCAGTGGAATCAAAGTCCTGAGTGCAAACCTTTTCACCACGGAACCACTTAAGGTGAAGTTAAATCTCCTTTTTCACCCAAAAGATGTTTTCATTGTCCCGTAAGATCAATATTAGATATTCATGAGATTAATTTCCTTTTCCAAATGAATGGTTATGTACCACAGCACTTTAAGGTTGCTCTAATTAAACCTTTACTTAAGAAGTCTGATCTTGATTCAGAAATTCTGGCCAACTATAGACCTATATCTAATCTAACTTTCATCTCAATCATTCTAGAGAAAATAGTTGCAGGTCAATTGCGTGAACATCTACTTTGTACTACGAAATAATCTGTTTTGAAGAGTTTCAGTCAGGGTTTAGAGCTCATCATAGCACAGAAACAGCACTAGTAAAAGTAACTAATGATATTATCATGGCCTCAGACAATGGACTTGTGTCTATACTGGTCCTGTTAGACCTCAGTGCTGCATTTGATACAGTTGATCACAATATTTTACTACAGAGGCTTGAATATGATATTGGGATTAGAGGAACAGCTCTAAAATTGTTTAAATCATATATATCTGATAGATTCCAGTTTGTAAATGTAAATAATAAATCTTCTTCATACACCAAAGTTAGTCATGGTGTTCCTCAGGGCTCAGTGCTTGGGCCAATACTCTTTACTTTATATATGCTTCCATTAGGTAAAATTATTAAACAGCATGGGATAAATTTTCATTGTTATGCTGATGACACACAATATATTTGTCCATTAAACCCAATGAATCCAATCAGTTACTTAGACTACAAGCATGTCTTAAAGACATAAAAACCTGGATGACCCTTAATTTTCTCCTGTTGAACACAGACAAGACTGAGGTTTTGGTTTTTGGACCTGAGCAACTTAGGAATGAATTTTTTGGTCTTTCTCCCTCCTTAGATGGAATTAATCTGTCCCCCAGCTTTAATGTTAAAAATCTTGGTGTTATTTTGATCAGGACATGTCTTTTATCCCCCACATTAAAAACGTTACTAGAACTGCCTTCTTCCATTTGCGTAACATCACTAAAATTAGAAACATCTTATCTAAAAATGATGCAGAAAAACTGAGTCATGCATTTGTCACCTTTAGACAGGACTATTGCAATGGTTTATTATCTGGGTGTCCAAATATTTCTTTAAAACATCTTCAGTTGATCCAAAATGCTGCTGCCAGAGTCTTAACTGCAGTTAATAGAATAGATCATATCTTCCCAGTTTTACCTTCTCCCCATTGGCTCCCTGTCAAATCCAGAATCGATTTCAAAATCTAACCTACAAAGCCCTCAACAACCTAGATCAGTTTCATATTACAGATCTTATTGTTCCATATTTTCCTAACAGAGCACTTCGCTCTCAGACTGCAGGTTTACTCGTGGTTCCTAGAGTTTCCAAAAACAGAATGGGAGGAAGATGCTGCAGTTATCAGGCTCCTCTCTTGTGGAACCAACTTCCAGTTTCTGTCCGTGAGGCTGACACATTGTCCAGTTTTAAGACTGGGCTTAAGACTTTCCTTTTTGATAAATTCTATAGTTATGGTTGGCTTGTTATGCTGCTGAGGGAGATTTCCGTTCCACTGTCACCTTCGTGCTTGCTCAAGATGAGAGTCTGCGTTGAAGTTAAACTCAAAGCAGTCTGCTCCTCGGATAAATAATGTTATTAACTTACTGTTATATATATGAATGTTTCTGTTCAGAGATGACTTCTGTTGGCGATTTATAAATAAACTGAATTGAACGGAATTGAGAATATGTGCTCTTGGGGTCCAGTTTGCCTCCTCTTCTGGTGTTCAGTAAATTGTAAATACATTTTTAAGAATGTAATTTTTTATGTATTTTTTTTATTTATTTTATTCTTATGAAAGTGCAAAATGGTACTATTTTAGATCACTTCATCAAAAAGTTATCACAGTCTGTTAGAAGAGTTGAACGAAGGGTGCAGACAGACACGAGGAACTCTGAGGTAAAATAAGGAAAACTGATTTATTAATAAAACACACAAGCAAAGGCTGGCGCGGCAGCAAAACTCACATGAAGAATAAATTCAGGAAGACGCGGCAAAACAGAGCATGAACAGCTGTGGGAAGCACAATCCACGGACAAAGGAACACACAAAATGACAGACATTAACAACCGAACATGACAAACATCTGGTGAGATATAACGAGGAACCGGTGAGAGTGGGAGAGGCAGGAGCAGACCCTAAGAGAATAGAAAAACACTGAGGAAGCTGAAACACAACAAACTCAGAATAAACTAATTTAAATAAGAGCCACAAGAAGACTAAAACAACACAAAACACACGGATCCAAAAGTAATGAGATGAATTTCCTTTAGTAAGTTGCTTTTTTGTGAGTTTCTGGGGTTTACATTCCACTGATTGAATGGGAAATGGTGCCACAGTGTTGTGATAAATTAATCTTTACAGTTTGCAGATTTATTTTGTTTGATTTGCTTTATATATTATACAAAAGTAAAAGTCTTTGATAAGTTTCCTTTACAGTGACAGACTCCATAAACCTGCAACACTCAGGTTTGCCTTTATGTACTTTTTGACTTTGAATCAGTGAGCACAGACCTGACAGATAAATTACACAATTATTTATTACAAAAATAAATAACCTCAATTAAACCTGAAAAATACAAACTGATCATTTATAGTTTTACTGATGAAGTGTTTATTGTATGTCAATGGTGTATTACAGGTTTTCTTAAATAAAATTGAGACAACTCGTTCATTATTTTTCATGAGGCATGTGTAAGAACTAATCCATGATGAATTTAATTTGAATAATTTAACATTTTCTCTATGTTAAATGTTTTGCCACCCTGAATGCTTTTCCTTTAGTTTTGACTTTGATGTATAAACAGTAAGTGCCGATGTGCCGCCTGTGCCGTGAACCTTTGACCACTGAACAGATGACTGCTCAACCCTTCGAGGACAGATTGCGCAGGTTCATCGCCTTCGCAGACAGTCATGACACGAGACGCTGGTAAATAACTCAGCCTTTAAGCTCACCTTTGACACGTCAAAGTCCTTGCTTTGAGATGGGGAGGCGGGGGAAGGCGGAGGCAGGTTTCAGATGCAACAACAGCTAATCAGTGACAGGTGAGCGTCCCATTAAGACTCACGCACACCAAAGGAGAGCTGGTGAGTGAATTCATTACTTTACTTACCGTAATGTCTTTTTGTGTGTTTTCAATCAGTAAATTATTTAAAAAAAATATTGAGAAACCATACGATTAATAAAACTTTACATGAACATAAAACAGCACTCCATATGTGTACAGGATATCAGTGGTACTATACATATATAAACACCTACATGGTCCTAGCTCACGCACAGGTGATTCGCTGAGGCTGCTCCTCCTGTTGGTAATGATTCCCCTGCTTTTGAAGGAAAAAAGACTAAAGTCACAATGGTGGTCACATTGCAGAGATGTTTCTCCACCACAGTGGAGAGGTTTTCATACAGTTGGGCTCCAACGCTCCACTGGCCTAGAGGGTCAGCCAAATAGGGCACAAGCGACTCTGCCAGAAACTTTTTCTTATAGCATAGTGTGAGGGTTTTAAATGGCTAGTTTTAAGCTGGTGCCTCTTTCTGTGACGTCAGACCATATCTGAGGCTGGTTTTATGACCTGGCAGGTATGTCTTACTCAATAGCATATTCTTGTGTTGCTGCTTGTGTCTCAGCATGGACTAACATGGCCTCTACAACACGCCGTTTATCGAGAAATTCAGGCTTTTTAAAATGTGGGTCTTAGGCTTCTGACAATGTGCAAACCTTTTCAGTTTACCCAAAGTGTTTGTCCAGGTCTGCTCCCAGACCTGACCGCTGACCAGTTTACTTGTAATCTCATTGTTGCTTGTGATATTCACAATTCTCTGGAGCCCTGTACCAGTAAAATAGATGAGCATGTCACATACCTGTGGAAAAATAAGCAATACATAGAAGTCAAATTGTGTCTTTTGTATATGAATCTTAAGACACAACTGTATTTACAAATACTGTATGTACTTATTTTTGAGTTCTTGCAAATAATATGCCTTATCCTGAAGTCATTAAAACAGTGTATTTACTTAAAACTATTTAACGTAGTTTATTACATACCTCTCTGAGCTCATCTCCAATATATACTCCTCAAGTGGTTTCAGGATGCTGCAGGCCTCAGACTCTTCCATACTACCAGCGTTAACGCCGGCAGCTGCAGGTATACCTGAGCCAGTGTAGAGATAAGGGGCTTTTTAATTTGTAGGAAGTGTTATAGCGGGCATCACGGTGGCGCAACTGGTAGAGCTGCTGCCTCTCAGCGAGCAGGTCCCCAGCTCAAATCCCGGTTCGGAGGCCTTTCTGGGTGGAGTTTGCATGTTCTCTCCGTGCATGCATGGGTTTCTCCAGGTACACCGGTTTCCTCCAACAGACCACAACCATGCATGTTAGGCTGATTGGTAACTCTAAATTGTCCCTAGGTGTGAGAGAGTGAATGGTTGTTTGTCTCTATGTGTCCCTGTGATGGACTTGCGACCTGTCCAGGGTGTACCCTGCCCCTCGCACAGTGATTGCTGGACATGGGCACCAGCGACCCCCGTGACCCAAAATGGAAGAAGCGCATAAAAGATAATGGCTGGATGGATGGATGGATGGATGGATGGATGGATGGATGGATGGATGGATGGATGGATGGATGGATGGATGGATGGATGGAAGTGTTATAGCATATAAAAAGTTAAATACCGTCGCCCTTTGTGCAGCTTTGTAGAGTGCTTCTGTGTACATATTCCGCATACGTCTTCACCTTCTGTATGTTTTGAATAGCAGGAAATTGAATCGCATTTCTGACTATAAAGTTGAGATGTGCAAAACGAACATTGTTCCACCATAGCATCTAGTTTACAGCCTTAACTTGCATTATCATTAACACAAGCGGCAATTTTGCATTCAGAGGCCCATTCCTGTGCCCAGCTCTAGTATTATGTCTGTCTGCTGTGTGCTGCTCTGTCACATCAAAGCAATCCAATAAGTTGCAATGTAGTTTCCAGTCCCGGTTATAATTGCAAATCACAGACATGTAGTTGGCAGTGGTGTCTGATGTCCAGCAGTCTGTTGTAAAGCAAACAGCAGGAGCAGTTTGAATCCATTCCATACAGGTTTGGAAGCATCCTTTTCTCTTGTTGGTTGGATCCAGCACTTGGGTTTAAGCTCTAACATCCCTGTTCTGAACAATGGGAAATGGTTGGAAGTATAAAGCTTCTCAATTTGACAAGAGCTTCATCATTTTTGTTCTGCTGTTGAGGCTGAGTTGGTCTCCTAACAAACATCTGCACAGATGACTGCCTGGGCTGCTTTTCTTGCTGCTGTGCTTCTGCAACACTGTGGCAGTACTGACATCTTGACTGCAGTTGGTTTAACACATATCTCTTGTCTTATGTGCACTCATTTTCTGTAAAGAAATATTTTTCTCTTAAAGCTCTTGGCACCTCACACCTCTTGTCACGTTTTCTCAGTGCAATCTTGATTTGGGTTATATAGAGAAGGAGTGGGTGGCCTCACCTACCAGTGTTGAGTATGTCAGGGATTTAGCTGTCTTCTGGCACGTCTGGTAACTTACAGACTTAGCGGCGGCAGTCTGCTAAAGGGCAGGATCTGTAATAGCATGTGTTGTAATGGCACGATTACTGTAATCAAGAAGAGATAAGATAAAACTTTATTGATCTCGCAGGAAATTGTTGATTGTTGTTTGAGAGGTAAACTTCCATCTTCTGTTTCATTACAGCTGACAGCAATAATGTTTACAGACGTTCAAATATGTAACTGGATAATGGAAGTTTTTTGTTTGTTTGTTTGTTTGTTTGTTTTGGGAGGTGTGTGTGTGGGTGCTCCTAACATCCCCTTCTGTTTGAGTAAGTCAGAAAAGCTTTACCAGGGGTGGAAAGACTTGTTTCTGTAAACATTCAGACAAATTCAGACACTAGACTGCTCTTAAAATACCACTTTTGCTTTTATATCCAAGAAAACTATACTTGAAAAAACTACTAAAAAGTCCAAATCGTGTTGTTAGTTAGGCTGTAAACAAGTTATAAAGCAATATATGTTTGTGCATATCACGTAATGATACAAATCTAGAGTTAGCTTAGCATGTTTAATGTTTAAAGTCCATGTATAAGCACTCCTTTAGGTGCTTTTATGATTTGTCATCAGCACACATGCACAGTACTTTTTAACTTTCTGTACAATATATATATATATATATATATATATATTTGATAAGAGGTAAAGTGACTATCCTTAGTGTGCATTCAAAGTCCGTGGATTTCCTTGTGATTATCCACAGTCAGCTGTGTGTTCCAGTAATCATTAGCCGTCAGTGCAGGGCTGTCATGGAAGATTAACTTTTCATCTTCAGCTATCAGCACTTCTGTGACTTCTTTATGTGCTCTATTATCTGATATGATAACTGTGCATAACGGGTCACAATGGTCAAAAGAATTAAATAGAGGGACAAATACAGGTTTTTTTTATATAAAAAGTTTTAAAAATAAAGCCTTACTCTTGCTTTTGTTTTGTTGTATGTCACAGTCTCAAAAATTTAAACTAGGAATCTGCATTCATAGGTTTACTTCTAAGACTCAACCTTTTTTACAAATAGTCTAAGATGGTGTTATGACGATTTTAAAAAATTTTGTTTTTTTAAACTTTGGGGGAAAAGGGTCTTTTTAGAATCACTGTTAACATGTTGACAGCTGATACCATCTAGCTATCACGTGTAACTCATTTCTGTCTGTGTTAGGACATGGCCACATACAAGCCAAGAGTGATTTCTCTGACCAAGAGGCCAGGTCAGACATTTGGCTTCTATCTCAGGGCAGAGCAAAGTGAGGAGGGTCACCTGATCCGCTGCCTAGAGATGGGAGGTCCAGCAGAACTGGCTGGCATGAAAGACGGTGATCGTATCCTCAGAGTCAATGGAACGTTTGTTGATGGACTGAACCATCCAGAGGTAAGAAGGATGCAAAGACACTGCCGTACAATAATCAAATCAGTAAAGACACTTTGAACTAATCCAACCAAAAATACTCTTTTTACTTTTTAACTCATCTTGGTGTCTCTTGTTTAGGTGGTGGAGCTGGTGAGGAACAGTGGAGCTTCTGTCACATTTCACATTCTGGATGAAGCCTCTTACAAGCAAGCAAAAACACTTGGAGTAAACCTTTCTGACCCCCAAAGTGCGCCCGTTGTCAATGGAGTGGATAAAGAGACTCCAAAACCTAAACTCTGCTACTTGGTTAAGTCTAGCTCAGGATATGGGTTTTCTATTCGCTCAGTTACAGGTGAGATGGAGTTTAAGATCTTCAAACTCTGATTAAAATTATATAAAAATCTTGGAACTGTAGGTTTACATCATAACAAAATAATGTTGTATTTGTGTATTTATGAAAATACATACTATGTATTAAAAAATATATAAGTTGTTCTACTAAAATCGAGCTCCCACACATCTCATGAACGTGTAAACCTAAAAACGCAAAATGTTTTACTTATTTCTTGGTTGAACAAAGTGTGCAGGAATGTTTTTATATGTAAGTTGCCTACATATGTGCTCTTGTACTTGAATCACAGACAATTGGACTAGAGATGCACCATATTGGATTTTTGGCCGATATCCATCCATCCATCCATTTCCATCCATTTTCTTTTACCCGTTTATTCCATTTTGGGTCACGGGGGTCGCTGGTGCCCATGTCCAGCAATCACTGTGCGAGGGGCGGGGTACACCCTGGACGGGTCGCAAGTCCATCACATGGCCACATAGAGACAAACGAGACAAACAACCATTCACTCTCTCACTCACACCTAGGGGCAATTTAGAGTTACCAATCAGCCTAACATGCATGTTTTTGGACTGTGGGAGGAAACCGGAGTACCCGGGGAAAACCCACACATGCACGGAGAGAACATGCAAACTCCACCCAGAAAGGCCCCTGGACCGGGGTTTGAACCAGGGACCTGCTCGCTGAGAGGCAGCAGCTCTACCAGTTGCGCCACCGTGCTGCCCTTTGGCCGATATCCGATATGCTAAAACTTATTTGTCCGATAACCGATGCAGATATATACGTTCTTTGTCAGAACATAGCCCTCTTTTTTTAGACTTATTTGCTACAAAAATTGTGCAACAACAGTAAAAGCTGGTGACATATATTCACTAACATCCATATGATATGCATAACACTTTGACTTATAATAAATGAAAAAAGTTAAACGTTATTTATTAGCATTAGTCGCCTGCAATGCTGTCTCACTTGTGGAGGCTTGTTCCAGGTTCCTAGCTGCAGTGTGGGATCCTCTGCACTCTTGTGCATGAAGGACAGACTTTTTAAGTTCAAAGTTTTGTCTATCCATTGTGCTGTAAGACTAATCATGCTAACGGGGCTAACATGACGTCCAAATGTCTGTGGTAAAACTCACCCAAGTGCTTTCGGCTATTAGCTTCTCAATGACGTCGGAAATGACGACTTGTAACTTGGGTAACGTTAAGTCGGAAAAATATATCTGACTGGGGACGATGTAGCGAGGCTCAACGTAGTCCATAAATCTTGGGAATCCGACATCCTCACCAACAAAAAAAAAAACTTCCACACATTTTGAATTTTCCTCTCTGCCGTGAGATCAGGTAGGCGCACGTGATGTCATCACGTTGTGCTGCCGCTACAGGCAAAAACAGCGCATTTATATCGGCAAGTTATTTAATTGTATGGCCTATGTTCGATATTGAACTTTAACGCTAATATCAGCCGATACCGATACCATGCCGATATTATTGTGCGTCCCTAAACTGGATGCTTCAAGAAGTTTCACTTTTTGTATGAGACACTTTTTAACTTCAAAGTGAAAAAGTGCAGAGTTCCAAGAAACAAAACTTTTTAATGACAACAAAAAAAGTCCAGTTGTCTTTGATTCCACTTTCTAGGATTACCATATACTCATGATCTAATAGCATATACTGTGGTTAGTATACATACAGTTTTTTTTTTTGTGCTGAAACGTTTCACCTTCCATCCAGAAGGCTTCATCAGTCAAGGAAACATGCAACACAAAACTGATTCTTCCCCCAACATCTTACTCCAAAGTGGAACAAACCAGTTATGTTGGTGCTAAGATGGCGTCTTTGGCATGCCCCCTTCTCCGGTGCCGGACCTCTTCCTCGCCGACAGTCTTGTCAAAATGGTTCAAAACCAACAAAGTCCATGCTCAATTTTTTGTGTTGTGTGTTTTCTTGACTGATGAAGCCTTCTGGATGGAAGATGAACTGTTTCAGCACAAATAAGAAACTGTCCAGATGACCTGACTGAAAATTGTTGGGTATATATACTGTATTTTTGGACTATTAGGAGCACTTAAAATCCTTTAATTTTCTCAGAAATTAATGGTGAACCTTATACTCCAATGCACCTAATGTATTATAATTCTGGTCATGCTTACTGACCTCGAACCGATATTATGTGGTACATGGCGCTCAAAAAATTGTCAAAATGTTTCATTGTGCTTAATGCGCCTCATAATCTGGTGCGCCTCATTTATGAAAACAGACCCGTTCGTTGATATTGTGCCTTATAATCCGGTGTGCCTTATAGTCCAAAAAATGTGGTACTCATAATGTACACTAACATATTGTTCTCATAACGGGTAAACATAGCATGAATAGCATTTTTTATTCATCACAAGAATCTCACGTAACCTGAAACAAAACTTGTTTCTACTTAGCGGCTTTACTATTGTCGTAGCAAGTTTGACATAAATGGTTAACCCGTAATATATACAAATGTATATATATATATAAAGATTTATAACATGATAAATATCTACAAGGCGTCTGATTAAAACCAAACAAAATATTTAACTTGTACTAGTTTTTTAACCAAAATTCAAATTTAAGCTAAACTATTTTTGTTTTGTTTTAATAGGACATGTTCAAATCTCATTATCGGCTGTGTAACTCAAATGCTATTAGCTGCCAAAAATATTCATATTAAAACTATCAAACTTTACATTTGATCACTTTCCAGAGATAATGAGGCTGTGATTCTAAATGTTAAATGTACCTAGTTTTTTATTTTATTTTACTCATAGACATTAATAAAAGATTTATACATTTGCAATTCATCAATTTACATTTCAAAAGATTATCAATTTACTATATT